ACAAACAAAAAGGTTATGTCATGCTACAAGGAGATTTCAATGCCCAAACAGCCAACTTAGTGGACACTATAGAAGACGATGAGGACAACTATATACCAACACCTGGTATGTACACATGTGATACACTAACCAAAAAGTAACATAACATGGACACCCAGAAAAATACATTTGGAGAAGACTTGATAATCAAAGAAAGCTTAGAAAGAACTCCCGTGTGCTGAGAGTTTTGGAGACACATTACAAATTAATTCAAAATTACTTATACTTGAGATATTGATGGAATAGCTGAAAACTAATTATGCAAATAAGGTAACTAATATGAACAGATTTAAGTGTAAGACAATTAAGGTCTGCACAATGTACCAAGTTTCATTGAAATGTGATTAGAACCAAAAAAATATTAATTATTATACTAATTAGAGAATTAATATGAACAGATTTTAACCCAAAATTAATCAGACTCCCCTGGCGGCAATGATAACATGCGAACACGGAGCCAACAAATGAGGTTTCAACTGGTACTGGTATTATTATACTCTGCAAACATCAAGTACAATAACGCGGTAAAACTCCACTACTCCAATAACTAGATAGTATATACTTAAACTCCAATACAATTCAACGAGATCTCCGATCTGAACTCAGTGCTGAACAACTCCCCTATATATACCCCCACTGTCAGCATACATAATGAGTCTGGAATTTACTATAAATTTCTAGAATGTTCCATTACCTTCTATTGCCTCCTACAGTGTTCTATTACCTATTCAACCATTTTCTAAAAAAAAATCTAGAATACTCCACCCAGACACAGTAAGGTTCTAGAACATTCTCAGTGACACAGATTTAGAAAAAGCACCGTACTGTAGACCATATTCTAACACTACACACCATGGTAAAAAAATACCAATCAAAGAATAAAAACCTGTATTGTTGCTTCATCGATCTGAAAAAATGCTTTGATACAATGTAGAGAACTGGTCAGCTATACAAATTACAAAGGAACAACATTAATGGCCACATATACAAGATAATCAAAAGCATGTACAGCAACATTATTTTCCATGTAAAACTGAAAGACAAAATTACACCAACCTCCAAGACTGATAATGGAGTAAAGCAAGGATGCCCACTTAGTCCAACATTTTTTAGCATTTTTATCAATGACTTGGTCGAATTGTTAAATGTCACTGCAGTTGATGAGCCGGAACTTGACAACCAACCAATATCAAGCTTACTATTTGCCGACGACATTGTACTCACCTCAACATCGAAGACTGGTCTGCAGTCATCACTTGACAACCTTTATAACTACACCAATAAATGGGGACTGGAAGTGAACACGATGAAATCAAAAATTCTAATATTCTCAAAAAACCGCCACAAAACAGATGTATCATCATTCAGATATGGCGACACTACTATGGACAAAACTGACAAATTCACGTACCTGGGTTCAACTTTTAGCTCAAATGGTTCCTTAATCAACACCGTGGACAAACTCCCGGATAAAACAAGGAAAACAGAATATATACTATCAAACATTTACAAGAACAATACAAACAACATTAAGCTTAAGACAAAACTATTTGAAACAGTCCAACTGCCAATACTGAAATTTGGGGAATAACAATTAAACCAGACAAGTGGGACAAAACTGAAACTGTAGACACATTCTAAATGTTAACAATAGAACAAGCACAATTGGTTGTAGACTTGAACTCGGGAGATTACCATTAATCTCAAATATACAGCTACAATCTGTTAAATATTACCAAAGTATTAGGAACAATGGTCCTATCAGTTACACATACCATGCAGTTAGGGAACTTGAACAACGTTGTTATAAAGACTCATGGATTGAAGGCATATACAAAATTAGGGACATTTACAATATAAACCCTATTACCATATCAAAAAAGTCATTCTTAGAGAAAACTAAGAACCACTACACAGATTCATGGATTAGCGATATTAATAAAACAGATTCTAAGCTCAGAACATACAGCCTCCTTAAAAATGATATCAGTACGTCACACTATCTGCATTTATTACATAATAGAGATTGAGCTGCCATAAACTTCAAATTGAAGTTGACAGACATAAAAGGCCAACAATACCAGCAGAAATAAGAATCTGTAAAAAATGCACTTCATCAGAAATTGAAGATGAAATACATTTTGTAACAGGGTGTGATTTTTATAATACTGAAAGAGAAATACTTTATACAGAATTCACAAATGTACTCCCCACTTTTCAATCAGAAAACAATATAAAGAAATTCAAAACTGTTATTAATACAAAAGAACATAAATAAATCAGGCATGTGACTAAATACTTAAAACTTTGTTTCAAGAAACATGACACATAGACATGTACTTATCATACATAATTGTATATCACCACACTATCTCAGGCTAATTTGCCATTTTAAACTGCATTTATCTTAATTTTCTTTAACTTCTATTTTGTTACCGTTTTCTAAAATTTATTACATAACAGCCTAAAATGATTTGTTAACTTTCATTATGGTGTAATAAATGAAATTATTATTATTATGTGGTTCAATTACCATGTTATGTAGTGCATTTGGCAAGAGTTCCTTTTGTCCCCCACCCAATCCCCATCCCTAACTCAACACTCACTCCCAGTTACCCAATTCATTTATATATGCCCCCTCTAGATAACTATAGATGTCCTTAGGAGGGGCATGTACAATTAAATGGGGAGTGCTGGAGGGGAGGGTAGGGTTAGGGTAAATTCCAATTCCCCTTCCAAAGTTGTAAACACCTTTTGTTATGTAAATCACAAGCACACCTGATAGATTCCAAATGTTCTTCCAGAATTGAAAACAAGTATGACCTGCCAATCACCTTTATCACAGTTATCACAATACACACAGTTTCTTCCCATGATTCTATGCACACTTCCATTTGCAGGGTTTGAGGTAATATGACCAAAATATATAATAATAGATGCTGACACATAGCATAGTATAATATAGAGACCTCAGTCACAATATGTATACATCTATATAAAATTGTTAATTGTAGTGCTATATTATGTATGGAATGTGTGTAAAAGAGTGTATGTAAAGATATCCGATTGTAGCTACCCTAGGGAAAGATATGATCAAAAGACATTTACAAAAACCTCATATCACATTTTGGTCCTAACTTTGATTCTGTGTACATCAGTTGTTGTGAATGCTGCAGAAACTGATCATTTCTGGTTATGTAGTACATTGAATTTTGTATAATAATGTACACATTGACCTGGGAGAGTGAATGTACTTTGTATATTGTTACTGTTATATGTTCATCGTACCTTGTTGAGTTTATTTCAGATGGCTTATCAGTGTCAATAACAATGCAATAACTAGAACATGAACAAATCGTTATACTTGTACTAATTAATAATGTTACCTCGTCCACTCAAGACATCATCATCTTTTTCTGAATACGTATTGTAATGAAACGTTTTTTGTAATCGTATGAAATAAACATAACAAGTCATTGAAAATGACACAGTCCCTGTTAAATTTTTGAAAGTTCTCTTTGTGCTCGTCATATTAAAGCGGAGGGGTTGTCCCGAGCGTGTCCTTGAAACTTGATTTCCAAGTGGCGTATACAACAGATTGTTCATTTACATCAAAACATGTGTTCCGTGTAGTAGTAATATGGCCAAAAATAAAAACAGCCGTTATTCGGCCATCTTTGATCTGATTATGAAACACACTGATATGTATTATGTATGTGTCAAATACGAATGAAAATGGTACATAAATTGTGGAAATATAGTAGTAAGGACAAAAAGTCAGATGGCTTCGTTGACCAGATTTTGAAACAAATTGTCATGGACATGCATCCTAACATGTATAAAGTACATGTATGTGCCAAATTTGAATGAAAACTGACAGAGCACGTCCAAAATACAACATTTAAAAAAACCAAGATGGCTGCCAGTCGACCATTTTGAATCGAATCGCTAAACCACTGCATGTGCATATGTCGAACATAAGGTACTAGGCACATGCGAAGAATGAACGGAATCGGTCCACAGGATTCTGAAATATGACTCTGGACAGACTGACGCACAAACGAACGGTCACACGGACGGATGGACAGACTCAGGAATTCACGGACGGTCGGGGACAGGTATCCTAACATGTATGATCTTATGTACCAAGTTTGAATGAAAACTGACAAAGCATGTCCAAAATACAACATTTTCAAAAAACAAGATGGCTGCCAGTCGGCCATTTTGAATTGAATCGCTAAACCACTGCATGTGCATATGTCCCACATAAAGTACTAGACACATCCAAAGAATGAACGGAATCGGTCCAAGGGATTCTGAGATATGACTCCGGACGGACGCACAGACGAACGGACGCACAGACGCACGGACGGACGGAGACCGAACTATAAGTCCCCGTTTTCGGACTTCGTCCGAACGGGGACTAACAATGCGAATATTACAAACTGCAGTACAATGTAGCGTAATATATTTTGTGATTGTGTACACTTTATTGCGATATTACCCACCTACATTATAATAAATATAAGCCAAGCAGAACTGTAGGATGAACATGAGCTTGATGAGAATATGGCTACATTTGCTCATATTTTACATATGTGACATCATCGATGAATAGTGTTAGCGTTAATGTTAAGAAAATCGCATTGTCAAGCTCAAACTAACATATATGTATTTTTAAAAGGGTCTTAGAAAATGGGCTGAGTGTCATGACAATTACAAAGTGAACCAATCATTAGTTCTAGTCAATATTCATGTAATTTAGAGAACAAATGATATCACACCTGAAATATACGCCAAACTCGCTTTTATTCACATACTTTGTTTGTTCAAAAAAGGTAATCGATTTATAAGTTGTTGTTGATAATAAACTGAAACAAAGCTCTTAATTGGTTCCATACCAAATATTCATTGATATTCTGAACCGGGATATGTAGTTATGTGTAGAGACCACACATTCGTTATCCTTTTACCAGAGATGCAAATATTCCATCGTCTTTCTTGAGTAGATTTTCTGGAGTATCATATTCCACCACTTCACCATTACTGAGTACCATTATATAGTCGGAATTTCGTATAGTGGATATACGATGCTGAGCAAATGAAAGAAAATCTAGTTTGAATAATAATGTTCACTATAATGAATCAGCATCCAATGTTGGTCTTTGTGTGTGTCGAATCTAATAGAAGTCTAACAATGCATGCCCTATGAATAATTTAAATAAATACACAAATTTGTGCATAACGTGACAGACATATGACTCTTAAAACCGAGTTTTTGACAACAAATTGGATGCCAGCCGCCTATTTGATGTCCAGGGATTTATCAGAGGGTAAGCATGGACAGTCATGCGCGAAAACAATCTTCAAACGAAACCAATGTTTTTTTTTTGATCAAGCATAGTTGGAAAAACAACAATCACATGTACTGCTCAATATACAAGAATATTGTATAATTAATTGCCTTGTTTTTATAGTTTTTATCGACCTTTCTCCGCCAAAATAAATGAAAATTAAAGTTACTAGTTACATTTTATGTTAACTCATGGCTTGCATTACACTTTCATTTCATGGTTTAAACATAGTCATTTAGCTGCATAAACGCTTAACACAACCAAAAACCACTGGTACTTGCATAGAACTAAAATTTATGTATATTTCTTGGTTGAAAGAAGCATATTAAATGTGAATCAATCGCATGTTTTTGTTTATTTATTACATATTATATTTTATTTATTACATATATTTTCAATCAAAACAGTTTACCAATTAATCAACAAAAATGTAGCTTACGGCAATGGTTAAAACAGTGCTATCAGCAAAAGCATTGGTAATAACGTACTGTAACGTTTCATCCTATAGAATAAACATGAAAATGTATTAGTTAACATAAAAAACAATAATAATATAACTTAGATACAGAATAGTTCTGTGACAAAATATTTACGGGGATATTCAAGTTTATTCCCTTCATTTAGTGGTCAAAAATATTCACACTCGAAACTCAAACTCATTACTGGACTAACGCCATAGAAATATTATTGGCCAAGTAAATGTAGATTGCAGGCTATATATTAATGATGACATTACTCACGGTTTTTAAATCAATTGATGCTGTTACTTCATCCATAATAATAATTCTTGAATTTCTGAGGAAAGCTCTTGCCAGACAGAATAGCTGTCGCTGCCCAACACTAAAGTTCTCCCCTCCGTCTGACACTTGTGCATCTTCAGTGAATATAAATATGTGAATATATAAGAATCGATTTGTTTTGACCATAATAACAAGACAATAACATGAACGGAATGATTGTACTTGCTTGACTAACATACCCAACTGCATGTCCAGTTCTGATACACTGATTTTCAATTGTGCTATTTCCAGCGCTTCCCATAGTTCCTCGTCACTTTTCAGGTAGTCTGGATCAAGATTAAACCTGTGGAAAAAGAAAACACTAAAGCGCTAAGAACTGAAGCATATATTGTCTCTCGATTTGAAGTAATACATGTATCTGCGCGAGCAATATAAAAAAAGTATTCATTTTATATTATACTGGCCACATGTAAAATACAAATACATTCTTTGTGGGAATCAGCAGTGATGAATTCTAAACACTTTGTATGTACATATAATTGATTGTCTTGCCGTATTGTTCCTTCAAACAGAGTTGGATCTTGTGGAATAATTGTTAATCTACTACGCAGAGTTAACAAAGGTACACTGGATATATCCACACCATCGATGATAATTCGTCCTGATGGAAGGAAACGAAATACAGGGATTTCGTTATTATTATTTACTATTAAATGTTAAGCATTGTAAGTGTTTTGATAACAATCGCTTCTCACCTTGGTACATGTCGATCATTCTCAATAATGTTAGTGCCAAGGACGATTTGCCACTTCCTGTTCGACCGCATATGCCTATCTGTGTTAAATAATTAGAATAAGTATTAGTATGTGCTATTTAAGAAGTAGTAATGAGTCAGAAAAGAGTAGCATTTTAAATGTTAATGCAAATGTAATGAGAGATTACTTGTATTTCATTCCAATTACTCATTTGTAGCTGTGGCGAGTAACAGAACAATACAAACATGTGATTTACACACACAGGCCTCACATTACTATATCGTTATATATACATACTTTTTGACCAGATTTAAAGTGAATATTGATGTTATATAATACCGCTTCTAAATCATCTGCATATCGTACAGATACATTCTCAAATTGGATGTCACCTCGATCAGGCCAGTCGCCTGGAGGGTTATAAACACCTGTATAATCAACAAATATCATAATAATTACTTTTTCTTTCTTAACTTTAATAACAATTGCATAAAGACAGCATTCAAAGGTTACAGAAGCAAGTCAATCAATGAAATTGAAGAATTTTGTTACAATATTACGTACCCTGGTATTGCTCTGTTTCGATTTCAGTGTAGTGTTCAACTCTTTCTACTGCACTCATTTGCATTTCACAGTCTGCTGTGAAACGCACTGTCCAAAACAAACACCCTGAAACCTGGTGGGATAAAGGAAGATATAAACCATACCAAAAACTCATTATAAAACTGAACCATTTAAGATTAGTTTGAGCATTGAAACGATGACAGATCTGTCCCAAAGAACTGAGGAATGCGATTGTATTCGTTGGTTACTTTATGTGAAACATATATAAATTATAATTTAATTTTGATGTAAAAAACGTGTATTTTAAAATGTTGCAAGAGTGAGAGTTGTGGAGTGCTGTGTGTGTGATTACGTTTTATCCCATAGCAACGACAACATACACTGATATATACTTGATTTGTCGGATTAAGCATATGTAATGTTCCACCAAGGTGTGTACAAAATGTTGTCATGGGAAAGTATCATAGTGATAAGATGTTGATTCAAAGTCAGGTTGAATGGTTTCTTGTGAGGGACGGGCAAATATAAAACTGAATTTTGCTGATTGTGTCATCCAAAAGTGCACAATCACCAACAACCCCCCTTCCCCACAAGGAATGCAATAAGGGTGTTCATAATAATCCGCAAGTATTGCAATATCTGTGCACTTTTGCAAAGCTATTTGTATTGGTTGTCTTGTCAGGCACAAATTGTAAAGAACCTGGTTCTACACAAAATTCAACATTTTTGTCTTAATATATAGTAGTTTCCCTCAAAAACAGACATTCATACACAAAATGTTGGGTCAAAGTCAAAACAAATCGGAAGATTCAGCAGTTTTGGTTCCAATAAAAAATACTACGTTTTAGCAAATACGTGGACAATTGGGGAATGCCCAGGTCTGAATACCCACTAGTAGATGGTTGGGATATTCAGAAACTATATATACGTTTTCCCGTTTTTACCGGTCAAAAAAAAGTTGTGATACTGTATCCATTAGTTAGATATCTTCAATGTCATGTACTAAGTCATGTACTATATCAGGTAATGACTTGAATTATATTCAACCATCATTGAATATTCAGACATTAATATACTTACATTAATATATACTAATATACTTACTAAAAGTGCTTGTGTCAATGCTAGTCCAACCAAACTAGGTTGAAGATTTAAAAATACACAGCTGAGAAGACTACCCAAACCGGATACCAATATGAACAAAGAACCCACTAGCTCCTATGAAATTAAATTGTGATACAAACAAGTCAATTAAATTTAAGAAATACAAAAAAAAGGCAAGAACATAACTATCATCAGTATCATTATATACATAAAGATGGTTATCACTTATTATTATACATCTGTCACCGTAACGCCAAGTTACAGCATGCCGTAATTTTGAGGTATTTACGGGGTATTTTTATCCTACCATATGAGGAAATGCGAATTCCAAAATTAGGAATGATTACTCGTGTAAGCGCCCTCTAATAATAAAAATATACATGACTGCCACCAGAGTTTGCCCGGACACCACACAAAGAAGTTCGCTGATTCTGTTCTAAACTTTTTCTAAATTGTTTTCGGCATTCCCATGATGTATCCTTGGAAGGAAAAGATGTATAATAATGTTATTACAAGAATACCTCAAAATATGCACTCAGACAGTACGCCGTTGCATCGACCTCCGCTGCGTGTCGGTCGATACTCCAGTTGTACTACCTTTGTGATGCATACTTTGAGGTATCCTCGTAATACACCTCATATTATTTTTATACGTTGTAAAACAATGAAATGTGCATATTTTTCTTTTGAACTTACCAATCGTACTCCTACCCACCTATTACTAAGGTGGAGGAAAAGTTGAACGACATTATGTCGGTGTAAAACACTCGCCAAAACTCGTCGAAATCGTTCCTCACATCTGAGAAAAGAAAATCCAGCTAATATATCTAATATACATGCAAAGTCAATTTGTTCCAAATTTGATAAAAATAGAGTTCTCGACATGAAACTTTGTGTGATTTTCCCTTTTACTATACACCTACACTATTGTCCGGACCCGTTAACCATATTTGGTAAACGCGTCGTTTTCCTGTAACTACTGTCTGTTTTACAAAGCACCTAATTTGTAATTATCGTCTGTACTTCAAAAATGGCGGACGATATTATTTAGTGGATGGGAAATATACAGAACGACCAACTAGAATCATTATTGATTGGTGAAAATAATGGCGAAAGTACCATGGAAAGTGTCAAGAGAGACAATTTAGAAGTTGAATAGCATACACAGTTTACAAGGGTACGGATGCCGACCATCGTAAGCCGTCGGAGATTCCACCTAACAAGCTGAACGAAAGCATAGTTCACAAACATATTTCACTAAAAACAACTACGAAGTATCTCTGCCTGTTAAACATTTGAGATTGGGGACTACCGATGGCTATACACAAAATGTGCATGATCGACAGTTCATTTTATTTCCAACCAACTCCAGCGTCTCGTGTCAACTCTCTGTAGTGGTATTTAATTTCCACATTCGATGGGGAAAACAAGCTAGCATCATTTATGCCCGAGCTGACTCATCAATGTCCTTTGCTGAACAAAAACTCTTCTGTTCGGAAGACTGTCACAACAAATCATAAAGAAACGGTCACAAAAACGTGTCAAGTACTAAGATACTTTCTGCATGGAAAATGATCGGCGTATTTCGAATATTCTTATTCGAGCCACGCCTGGAACTTCTAAAGAAAGAAACACTTTCATATTGATTATCGTTGAAATGTGGTAGATTCATGTTTACTTGCTGTAATGCGTTCTTGAAACGTCTTGGTTTATTAACCTTAAGCACAGAAGTCTATGACAAAATAAAGGCCAAGCTATTTGCGATAGCTACAGTTATCAAGCTCTGATATTCTTTAATGGTTATTAACAACGTATTATTAATGCTGAACCAATTAAGAATTTAACCAATCAAAAACAAATGGAAGTTTCAACACTCCTTTTATGATACACCTGTGTATACAAAAGTGTTTCGCACAAAAAAGGATAAACCATTCCCCAAAATGTATTCCAATATGGATATAGTTTAAAATTTGTCAAACAAAGAATATTTCATATGTTCTATTCTCTCTTGTCTATCGTAATATTTGATAAAAAATACCTGTATGCGCGTATCGTTGACAAACCAGATAGAGTTTCAGAAAAGTGTTGATATATTGGGGATCTTGTTATGTTATCAAGACGCTGAAGTTCCCTAAAAGAAAGTAATGACGTCAGATGAATATCAACTCAAAAAATAGCGTATATAAATGTAAAGAACCATATAGTAACAGTTGAAACTTGTCTGACAGTGCCACCACAATCATATTGTTTTTATTATGGTTAGTCAAACTACTTAAATATACGATACCTACTAGATAGCCTAGTAAATTTAAGAATAATGATTATTCATATAAAGGAAAGAAGTACACTTGATGAATAGAAGTTTTTAATTAATAAATGGCGCCCTCATTCAACAATAATTAGAATGTATGGTAGGTCAAAAATTTGATAACCCGCATGCATCTTTTGGCTAAGCTTGTTTTACATACTTTCAAATGAGTATAAGAACCATTAATGCTGTAGGGTGTATTATGAGGGGCGGAGGATTTCATGTTGGCAATGACTGGTTGTCTCGTTGTTTTGCCGGATATTTGCTGCTTTCTTTGTTTTGTTTTTTTGTGGTGGGTGGAAGATGTGTTGATTGGTTGTTGGGTCATTGTTTAGGCATCCTGCAGCTTGAAATGGTATGGTCCCAATACAAATTTGATATGGCGATGTCTTCTAAAAACATGGCATCAACATTTTTCTTTATTTATTACTGTTGTAGATCCTGGAAACGATTGAATATGATATCGGGGAATAAATGGTATGAACAAGATTTATCAATTATTGCTGGCAATATTTCAATTTGAATTGGGGGCAAACTGTGACACCAAATCTTTGGGAAGGTTCTTCTATAAAAATAGAACAGATATATATATTCAACAACAACAACAATAATAATGACAATATATAATAATATCTTACCTGGAAGTTGACACAAAATATCGTAATATCATATAATACAAAACAACTAATGGTGCTATGCCAACCAAGAAGATTGGGCTCACCACAATATTGACAATGATAGCGGATATACACTGGAGGCTGTATTGAAACAGGCCATTAAATGTCATCCATAATTTCTGAAAGTAACACAATGGCATTAAAATGCGATTACAATTTTTTGTATATTAGCTACACATTTATACTGAAGTAGATAAATGATATCCAATTAGTGGCTGTATAATAACATATTTATTAAAACGAGTGTTAAATGTCAAAGACTCGAAATATATGAAAATCAGTACACGAGTTGTTTAATAAATACGATATTATTTGTTGAACCCATTAACGTATTTACAGTTATAGAGAAATGCTAGCAATAGTTTTATTTAAATGTGACCTAAACAGTAAATGTGATTTAAAACGAAAACATTAAATTAAAGCATTAAAAATGTCGGTACATAATTTTAATTTCACACAAATTATTTGTAATTGAATGAGCCATGTTTGTGACTTTTTTAGATTGACCAGATGGTGACGTCAGAATTTCAATCACGTGCATGGACCAATAAGATTTTCCACTCAGGGGTGTAATATGGAAACATATTACGTAGCTTACTACTATTGCATGATACATGTGATAAAACTCGGAAGAACACAAAAAGAAAAATAACTATAGGCCATCAAAGTGTACACACATGTATTCATATGTCAATCACAGATACAGTATTCATTAAATGTATGTTCGAAATATGACTTGAAGAATAATTAGTTTACGGGATCTCCAAACACGTTCAAATCATAACTAAAATGTCTAAATTATCGATTTGAGGGTTGATATGGAGATAGATATTGTATCAGACAAATCTATCAAATGTTGCATTTCATCTGATTATAGTCTAGTTTTTTTGTAGTTGTGGACCAAACCTTTGTTTTTCTTTTACGTTATACTAATATTGACAAGAAACAATCCATGCTTACCTGATCAATCATTTGTGTATCACTAGAGAACCGATTAAGTATTCGACCAGTTGGCGTAGTATCAAAAAATCTCATTGGTGCATGAAAGATGTTCCATAGCAAAGCTTTGTGCAAATGCTTTGCTGCAAGTATTGAAAATATAATTTGACAGCTGATGGCCAACAGCACAAATCCGACGTACGTGAAAGAAAGGGCAGCATAGATGTTAAGATAATATTGCGTTTGCTCTTCTATCTCTTCCTGGAATGAGTGAAACCACATAACAGTAAAAACTTGGGTCGAGTGTTGCTTGTAGTTATCATAATTGTTATACGTGGCAAAGCTTGTATATTTGTTAAAATTAGGTGTCACTGTTATATATATAGCTAAATCAATGACAATGTATGCACAACAGCCGGGAGAGTCCACGAACTTGGCCAACAAGGTTGATTGCTTCAATTGAATATGTTGATCCTTATCAACCACCAAGCCTTTCACCACATCAGCTGACCGTCCCCAAAAGAGCCGATCACGTGCACAAGGCTTTCTCCACAGGCGATCAAACTCGTCCCCCGCTGGAGTAGGATAGGCGCACTGACTCAGTACTGCATCCTGCACAAGCTGCATCCTTAACTGCATATTGTTAAGGGGCAGATGTGCCCCGGTAGGTCTGTGCTTATCCCGACAAGGAAGGGTTGGGAGACGACAAAACGCTCATCCCCCTGCTAAGGGTGTGGTAGCTGCGTACCACCCTGCACAGGGATACCAACACTGGAGCCCTCCAGTCGCAGAGGAACAAGTAGGGGCACTCAGCGCGGCTTGGTAAAGCAGGGGCAACAAGGCCTGCTCATACCCTCCCTGAGGGAGGTGTGGGAACTTTGGCGGAGAGCACAGAGCGCCCCCGTCCAGAAGGCGCTTGGGGAACTTGCCAGAAGACATGGTCTCCACGCCGGGAGTGGGAGTGGAAGAGGAGAGCGCCGATGAAAAGGGATTCAAAGGCGGTTCCCCAATCAAGGGCGGTGAAGGGAAGTCTAACGAGTAATAAATGAAATTTTATATTTCCACGGATTTTCTGATAGGTGATGTAGTAAACAGCATCACATTTCCATGCACACCAGAGAAATTAATAAAATTGTAATTTGACTTGGCAATTGGACTTGCGGTTTTAACAAGAAGTTGAAAATATCATTTTTTACCAAAAATGACAAAAATTTCACCAAAATTAGAGAATTGAAGATATCATCATGAAATGAACAAATCTGAGAGAGGTCTACCCAAGGTACATATACAACAAGTATCAAAGCATTCGGGCTTGTAGTTTTCAAGAATAAGTTGAAAAAGTAAAACATTGACACGGACGACGACGGACAATCACTCACATGATAAGCTCCGCTCGACAAAGTCGACAGCGGAGCTAACAAAAATGTACTGGTGAAAGACACATGCGACTAAAACCGACAGTTATTTTTAATAAAATCCCAAAAACGTTTGTGACGTTCACGCAAAGTTTTAATGAAGTCTGCTCATTTTTAATCAAAATACAATGTGTGGTGCTGTTGTACGAAATTTACACAACAGCTGTAAAATGCATATACGATGTTTGAACAAATTACGTCCATAGATGTCTCGGAATTGATGTCGGATGCATGCCGTTTAGACAAAACTAAAACAAGTGCGTTGAAATCGATCTTTCAGTAATCCGATTCATCGGAATGAGATAATAGCATGGTGCATAGTTCAAGACCATCTCAGTGCATTCAAACCCTGTTTAACAGTAACACACAGAGGGGCAATATAATGTGTCTTGCTTCTTTCAGAATAATGAAGACTTGTATTACCTTGGTTTGATTCATTGTATCCACACCAGCATCGGACCATTCAGAGAGCCAGAAATTTGTCATAATCAGAGCAGTACATTGTAGTGCATATACTATCATAATGATAGTCACTAATCGCAAACCAATCGCTCGTCCATATGCAAGATAAACTCGTGATGAAACAGAACCTCGTTCTCGATCTTCTTCCTCAATTAACGATGCAGCTGCACCTAAGATATGGGTATAAATAATGTAAGGTGAAGAAATTACATACTTTTTTGAAGTTATATTAATGGTTACTTGCAAATTTTTCATTAATAATATTATTATTTACACGTCACAAAAATGACAGAAATTGGTGAAGTACGTCAGTTACTGTTGCAGTAATGCAATGAATAACAAGTGCAAACTGTCTTCTGTATATCTGATGATGGTAATTTTCAAATACATGTTGTGGGATGTTTCGGCATAAATATGACAAGACATAATATATAAAGTAGCAATATAAATCTTATGATCAACAATGATAAGACTAAGGTGAAGAATACAACACTCGCTATTACAGTTACAGCGGTGGCACGTCAGAAAATGTTTTATTTAGACACTTGGGTAGCATTCGAAGGACCATCGAAGTGGATAAGGCTGCTTCCAATAGTTTGAAACAAATACTAGTCTTTTAAGCTCAAGAAACATAATAGGCTACCTCTATGTTGATTTTTTTCCATACACTTTTCTGGCATCTCCGTATCTTCATCCAGTAATAGTCTTTGATCTGTATGTAACATTTCTTCCTCTGATAAACCTTCCGTTTCTGAATCACTAATTAGCTTGATCTTTCCCGTCCATTCTCTGCACAAATCACTGCCTTCTTCTATTTCTTCTAAATTGCCCTGCTTATCAATCTTTCCATTTTCCATTATAATTACCTGCAATAATTGTGTTAAATATACTGACATAGTAGTATATGGTACATTCTGTAGTTGGGTCATTAATGTTATATGTATATCAGAATACATCATGCCGAAAACGAGAATATATTTACTTGATCTGCATGGTGTAGGTATTGCAGTGCATGTGTAACTAGTATAACTGTTCTGTTCTCATTCGATACAAAACCGGTGATAGCTTGTTCCATAAGATGTTTACCAACATGTACATCAAGTGCAGATAAAGGATCGTCCTGGAAAACAAATGTAACAGTAATGTAAATATAAACATGCAACACATAAAACATTCGACCAGAGAAAAGCGCATTGTAGTCAAAGTAAGCAGACGTGCACCTCACTACGCTACACTAACCAACCCTAAAGTTCGCTTCAAAATAGCTTAATTAACGTGAATCTATAGTGATTCAATGGATATGTGCAAACCACACCTCTTATGCCACAGACAGCAACTGAGTAGTTTCTGTATTGCCTACATTACTCATACATACCATAACAATGATGTCTGTTTTACTATAAATAGCTCTAGCAACACTAATTCGTTGTTTTTGTCCTCCGCTTAGATTAATACCCTTTTCGCCAATTTCTGTCATGTCCCCTCCAGCATACAAATTCAAATCCGGTGTCAGAGCACACACATCTAGAACTGAATGATACCTTAGAAAAAAGTATAAATTATTTAAACATCTTCATTACATGATATACATGTATTTAAATACAGGAGTTGTACATCACCTCTACCTTTATACAGTCATTGATTTCATTTGTATGAAAAGACTGTCGCTTAGCGAATTATTCAACAAGGTTGTTTTATTAATAGTGTTTTGTTTTAAAACAAATAACATTCAATCACATTTAAGCGGAAACAAATGTAATGGGTAAGAAAATATAAATCAATTATATAATGTACTGTATACACATTTTCTTACCTCTTGTAATCAAATGCTGATCCGAAAACAATATTCTCTCTTATTGTTGCGTTATGTAGCCACGCCGTCTGTGGACAGTACGATATGCGATTCCATAAACTGTAGAGATTAATGTTTCACTAGGTCAGAATATTGTTTTCATCGACAGTCATATTGAGTAACTCTTAATTCAGGGTTATATGTATGTTTTTGATTACATTACATACACTCAAGTCATGATATCTGCCTTACTTGTTGAACTGCACTGTACCAGATATCAGTGTCATTTCTCCTAATATAGCTGATAAGACAGATGATTTTCCGCTACCTACTAATCCAATAACCATCGTTAGTGAACCTGAAAGATGATTATGTTCGGTTAAGAGAGAATACAGGCCCACGTCTATATTGAAATTATGATACTATTCAAAATATAGGAAATGCTCCGTTTTACACACATATATTATTTCATACAAATATCGAAATCAACAAGCTAATCAATCGATATTACACGCGTGAATATGCCACCCAACAAATATAGTAATACTGTTATACTAACATTGTCATCTTAATTATAGAAATAGTTTGCCTCGGTATTGTTTTAAAAATTTGTTCACCTTTGGGAATCATCAAATCTATATTGCATAACGACACTATTGCGTCATCCACATCCCACGCAAAATGTCCTTTGTTAACCTGCAATAAAGTGTTATGTTATGCATCAATCAAAACCATAATAAACATAGTTTTGTATAAAAACGTGGTCTCAAAATATATAAAAGAGTAACTATTTTTAACTATTGTACTGACCTATATAATCTACTGCACATTTATGAAAATCAAGATAATTATACCAACAATTGTATGGATTGTACGCAAACAGGTCAATTGGCTTTTTGTTGGCAAGCCATTACTTCTAATTAACATCATAACATTGTCTACAATACATTCAACAAACCAAACCGTTATTAGACATAATCTTGCATACAACCAAATCTTATAATAGCGTAAATTAATTGCAAGGCATATACATACGCCAGGATATGAGTTTACAAATATACAGCTTCAAATAGTTAAAGACGTACACTGCAAAAATATTCTTCTATAATTGAGTTACATCTTGCTAACATATGGAAAGCTGTAAACATATTTAAGAGCACCTCCTTGTGGTAAATTATCAAGTAACATGATTAAATCCAACCAAAGTCATAAACAAACAACACGAATGATGTTTGACCAGCAGGTAAGCCAGACTATTATTCAACTACACATAGATTTACTACTACGGCATTGTATTTACAAACCTGCAACGCTATACTGTCTGGTAGCGGGACCGCAGTTGTTCCTTGATTGACTGTTGATTCAGTATTAAATGTACCATAACTAGCGCCATTGTCATATAAGAGACTAGAGTTTGTAATAAGACAATCTTGATCATTCCCAGTGATCTGAAAACGCAGAGTAAAAGAACATATGAAAATTCACCCATATGTAGATGCACTGATTATTTACTGACAATTTTCAGGTTTGAAACATAATTAATGAATGATCTATGTTATCTACTGTAACAGTGCACATGTATTAATTGTATACATCTATATTTCTATAGTGACTATCATATTTAAACTTCTTCATTTTAATTACATACATAAAACATAATAAATTAATTAATTGTTGGTGAAAAAATCAGGAATAACATTATTACCGGAAACATGTTCATGTTCGAAAGGGAGGTCAATGTATACGTAACAGTAACACTGAAAAACCAGACAAAATCCATAAATACCTCTATATCATCAATAACAGGATCGTCAAGTAAAGTTTCAGCATCATCACCACCAGAATTGAAATCGAATCCTTTTGACAATAATGGACGCCCACAGTCAAAGTCTTTAATCTCAGTTGCAGCAAAAAAGACTCGCAGTCTTTCGACACTTGCCAATGAATTTGCAAAAAACCCAATAACTATTGACACTGTTCCCATTGGCTGAATAAGTTGGTTGAAAAGAGCCAACGAAGAGAAAACTATCACTGGTGTCAATGGAGTAGGATTCGTTGAAGCATACACAGCAAATGACTATTAAGAAAGGAATACAATAATACAATGCTACTGAAAATATGTCGCTTTGTCTATATTCACCAATCCATTATATTTTTTAACATATTTCAATATTAAGCATTGTTTATCACACAAGTAGCCATGCTGTAGCCAAGGAGACACTCACGGTTGGTTTCTTGTAAATATTACAACGTGCTGGCGGGGCCAAAGGTCAATTGATGTTTTCAATGTACTGACCATCAATCTGGCTCTTGCACATGAAACGGCACATTTATGAGGTCCGATTACGGACAATGGAATAAACAGGCACACTGCTTTGCCACATTACTGTCAGTCAAGCGCTACATTATTGTGCATATCACGTGACGACTATTTTTTCATATGTTTACATTTGTATAACCATCTCGAATGGAGAGAGTAGAGGTTTTTCATATCTATCAATACGAAACACAAATAAAGGCCAGAACAATAGTCCAAGAGTGTTATAAATATACTTACAATAAATGTAATAACTACTGGTACGGCTTGGGCTATAAATGCTGAAGAAGAAATTGGATATCACAATGATATAATATCAAAGTTAATATCGTCAGCAAGCATGACAAAGCCTTTTCATAAGTAAAAGCACGATGCAAGGTGTTATACAAGTATGGTAAAATCATTCTTCACTTGTGGCAACAATAATCATTCGTCTACATCAGATAATATGTATCAATGCCTCCTGGGTTGAACTTTCCATATATATGAAATTTTTCGATATTTAAATTTTAGTTTGAACTATACACATGACATATTAATCTTATAGGTCTGGTTGGTATAAAAATTCAAATGAGGTACTTACATGTTGCAATCATATATACACCTGCCTTCATTATTTCACTCACTTCACGAGAACGAACTTTCTCCACGGAAGATGTGAATAAATCTTCCCAGCCATACAATTTTAATAGTTTAACACCCTGTATGAGTTCATTTGACTTCTTTAAACGAACATCACTTATTGACTGAAAGATAACATAACTGAGCTTAATTTAAAGTAATTGTCCAATACAATAACGGGGCATGAAAAAATATCATCAATGATCTGAGGGGTAGTAAAACAGTGTGTAATTCACTAATTTTGTGCTGTCATGTTCAATTTCAGACATTTCATTATCTACAACAATAGTTTTGGAACAGGTGACTTCATAAAAATTATCTTGTACAATTCTAATGGAGCAAGATGCATCAATGTCAACGTGTAATTAATATGAATTATTTAGTTAAACTATTTGAACAAGTGACTTCAATTCAAACTTGTACTATATTTGATAGGTGGCATTAACAAAGTTATAATTTGCATGAATCTAGTACATTATTTTTGGAATAGATGACATCAATTGAAACTTGTACTTCAAACGAATTATCTAGTACATTACTACATTATATGTAGTATAATCCTACGATGTATAAAATACTGATAATTACAATCAAGTTAATTTACATACCGGTAGATTTAAAAAAAACTTACCAACACTTTATTCAGTTGCATTGACATCTTTTTTGCAATTTTGTACGAGAGTGGCGTGGTAATGAATATTATGAATGCACCAACAAGCGATGCTACTCCCAACTTCAAGTATAATAGAATTAAAATCACGATTATCTGTGAAGAGAAAGGGTGTACTCATAATTGCACAGGATTTTATGAATGTGGAAATAGTACAATAAGATATGTATCAGCATTCAACTACCGGTAATCAATGCTAACAGTTGTCTTGAATTGGTCAATTTGTTAGTATTTAGTACTTGGTAGGGGGATGGAGAGTAATTGCTTCTCCAATTTCAAGGATGTGAGACACACCCCCCTCCACATTTTCATGAGTAAAATGATAGAATTATGCTGAACATATATTGGGTATGTGGCTGTACTTGCATCTAAAAGTAATAGACTGGCCAGTGCTTTAAATGATATGCCGACAAGGTGCAATCTTAAATAAATGTTGTGGACAAGCTTCAGCTATGAAGGAATACTTTTAGCATACTTAGCAAATATTTCCGGTCAATGCGAATGCATACAAAATGTATTTAGATCTTGCATACGAGGTCGTGAAATTAATTAAATTTGTTCACAAAGCGATATGTTGTGTTGTGTTCTAGGAGATGAACATTACCACCTGATGACTACATTAAATACGTTCAACAACAAATACAGAATGTGCTAAAAGTGAGAAGGTGAGAATAGGCATGATGGAAAGCCTTGGGACTAACATTTACAAGAAGATGACTCTACTCCAGGATGTTATGCTGAAACATTGCAGCTTCTCATACATTTAATTATTATTCAACTTACCTGGTATGGTGCAGCCCAAACAAAATATTGCCATATGAAGAACCACTGTATAATACCTGCATCCACATTAATATGATTAGTGATTTGCCCCACAGTCATTTCACCACCAGATAACGACCATGATGATATACGCAGTGACTTCTCGTAAATGAAGCTCTAATAAAGGCATATAGTTCAATGGATTGGTAAAGCTTTTGCCCCAACTAAAATGTCAAACATTTCATCCTTACAACGATTATTACGATTGACTACCGGTAATTTTACATACTTGTATGTTAGTGGACATTCACAAGATCGGAATGATTCAATACAGAGTTGACATAGAATGTCATATTAGTCATGGTTTATTCACGAATTCAATACACAATGGTCTAGTTGACATCATGAGGGAAAGGAATATTATAAAATGTGATTAACATACACTGACAATTTTGTATTTGCATGAATATAATCTTAGTGATGTGAATAATTATACAACGTATGAAGTGTTGCTTGCCATTTTAAATGAAATTCAATCTTTCAGTCACCAGGATCAGAACCAACAGAAGTGAAGTTGATTTGTGAGGATTGTTTACTTTGTATTCTAAGAAGACTTGTTTTGTATACGATATATACCCTCGTTATGACAATCAGTCATATCAAATGGTATAGAGACACTGTGCAACATTGCTACTCCAACAGAATCGATTAAAATTACTTATAAATTCGAGGTACGAACCATTTCTTAATATTTTTTATCAAAGTTTCTGGAGATGTTAAATTTTCTGAATCGTCAAAAGTCGAGGACGAAAAACATTTTGACAAAATTCAAGGAAACTGTCTATTCAACTGTAGTATTAACCTAATTAACAAAGATCTTTGTGAGTCCACGATATTCAAGGATTATATTTTGACACCTGTGTAAATGTCCTACATTTTGGGAAGATAGTGGACAAATTTGTAAATGTCTTACATTGTTTTTAAATGACAGTTGGCACTTCTTAGAAAACGAAGGACAACTGTATTAACCTCGCTATTTGAAATAAGTGGTTGGCACCTGGGCAATCCATCTACATTATTTAAGACAATGGTCGGCACCTGGATAAACCTTTTACATTATTTAAGACAATGGGCCATTCCAGTTTATATCTGCACCCCCCCCCCCTGTTGATGTGGTCGGATTTCCATTACTGTATGATGGGGAAAATACCCCAGAATTCCAACTGTATATGGAGATACAGAATCTGGAAATCCAGACGAGTATGGAAAAAAATCCAGGCAGTTATGGCCTAGTTTATCTCGCCACATACCAGTTGATGAGGTATGTATGACTAAAACAACTTGGAATTTTTACTGTATATGGTAAACAAATTGGGCCAGTATGAAATAGTTATTACTGAAATTAGATAAGGATTGTGGCACGAATGAGCTCATCAACACCGTGAATCAGGACTAGTATGGATTTCCATTATCAAATATACAATTTTGAACTTAGCATATGATGAGAGTTATATTTGGAAATCCTACTCTGTATGGTGGCATGAACGAACTCATCAACACCATAAGTAGGAACTATAGTTTTGGATTTCCATTACTGTATGGTGCAAGGTGATTTGGAAATAAAACTTTGTATGACTTATACACCCATGGAAATTATACTCTGTATGAAGTAAACACACAAGCTCATCAACAGGGGGTGCAGATATAAACTGGAATGGCCCAATGGTTAGCACCTGGATAAACCTTCTACATTATTTAAACAACAAGTCATTGAAAATGACACAGTCCCCGTTATATTTTTGAAAGTTCTCTTTGAGCTCGTCATATTAAAGTGGAGGCGTTGTCGCGAGCGTATCCTTGAAACTTGAGTTCCAAGTGGCGTATACAACAGATTGTTTATTTACATCAAAACACGTGTTCCGTGTAGTAGTAATGAGGCCAAAAATAAAAACAGCCATTATTCGGCCATCTTGGATCTGATTATAAAACACATTGATATGTATGATGTATGTGCCAAATACGAATGAAAATGGTACATAAATTGTGGAAGTAGTAAGGCCAAAAAGTCAGGCTGTCAATCGGCCATCCTTGACCAGATTTTGAAACAAATTGTCATGGACATGCATCCTAACATGTATAAAGTACATTTATGTGCCAAATTTGAATGAAAACTGACAGAGCACGTCCAAGATACCGCATAAAAAGAAAACAAGATGCCTACCAGTCGACCATCTTTGATACAATTGCAAAATAAATCGTCATGGACATGTATCCTAATATGTATAATCTATGTACCAAGTTTGAATGACAACTGACAAAGCATGTCCAAAATACAACATTTTCAAAAAACAAGATGACTGCCAGTCGGTCATTTTGAATCAATTCGCTAAACCACTGCATGTGCATATGTACCACATAAGGTACTAGGCACATGCAAAGAATGAACGGAATCGGTCCACAGGATTCTGAAATATGACTCTGGACAGACTGACGGACGGACACACGGACGGACGGACAGACTCAGGAACTTACGGACGGTCGGGGAAATGTATCCTAACATGTATAATCTATTTACCAAGTTTGAATGACAACTGACAAAGCATGTCCAAAATACAACATTTTCAAAAAACAAGATGGCTGCCAGTCGGCCATTTTGAATCGAATCGCTAAACCACTGCATGTGCATATGTTCTACATAAAGTACTAGGCACATGCAAAGAATGAACGAAATCGGTCCAAGGGATTCTGAGATATGACTCTGGAGGGACGCATGGACGCACGGACGGAGACCGAATTATAAGTCCCTGTTTTCGGACTTCGTCCGAACGGGGACTAAAAATGAACCCCCCGCCAACCCATAATGGACTCAAGCACACTTTGTGCTTCATATATGTACTCGGCTCACAAAGTGTGCTTGAGTCCATTATGGGTTGGCGGGGAGTTCATTATCGTTATTATTTTGTAGCGTTGTCATTACCAGTGGATTTGCATCCTCTAAAAAGCGGAAAAATTTGGAGAAAAATCTACAGTGAACAGAATAGTTTCACAGTCACTGGCCCGTGAATCTATATAATTGGAAATTGTTTCCACAATCTCATATGACAAACTAAGCAAGTAACTAGTTTTAATCCATCAAATATTATTGTATTGAACTCATTTACATTGCGAGTGAGTGAGTGACTGATGTTTGGTGTGGAGTAGCATTACATTGATCCCCCGAACGAATGGCACACCGTGAATGGTACGCCGTATCGTTGTCCACCACGGCCTTGCACTACACTACGCTAGATCGCCGCCGTGGTCCAGCAGGACCAGCTGTGCGTAGGGGTGCGTACCCGGGGTACATGTAATAATAATAATCTTCATTTGTAATCGT